CTTCTAGAGTAAAGAGGTATGTGGCCTCCCCACCAGAAATAAAAAGTAACTTACGTCTAATGGAACTTAAGAAAGCACAGAGGCACACTGATTCTCTTCTCAGTATTCGCAATGGGAATTAACAATATAAGCACACACACAAAAATCCTAGAAAGAAGTATATCATTATCACATCTATGCCTTCCTCTCCCCATAACCACCTGATACGAAATCTAATTGAGTCCCTACGGAGTTTTGTCAGTTTCCCAAATTTAGATGATGAATCTCTTCCAACCTAATTCCATGAGTACCATGAGAAAAGAAATTCCTACCATGACTAATTCAAACTCAGATTTTAAATGTATTTTCTCTTCTAGTACTTCTGGTAGATCCCAAAAAGAGAAAAAGAAATAAAACCATTTTCAGGATCCCAGTGTGTAGCAAAAGACAGCACAGCGTGGAGCACAATTCCCTGAGGACGCTGACCCTCCTTGAGCTCAGGAAGCACTTTTAAACACCTCCCCTGCCAGGCAGGGCTCGTCTCAGAAAATATTTCAAATGGCCTCATTAAAACCATAGCCCACAGTTAGTGGTGTCACTTCAATCATATTTTAAATTTTAAATATTTTACCCACGTACTTTAAAAGAGCCTTCAATATGAACTGTTATAAAATGGGCAATTACTAAAAACGCAGCAAAGCCATCCCCCTTTTTGAAAGATCATATGAGGAATAAGGACAACAACTACATGATGGGTCTAGAAGTAAACAAATCTTAAAAGTATAACATAAACAGGATCAGAGTGAAAGGAAGAGAAAGGCAAGAGGCAGAGCTAAAGACTCAACCAGAACTCTTACTATATTTTTACCGTAGAGATTTTCTTTGTCACCTCAAGAAAGATGCTGACCTTAACTCCTGACAGGAAGTAGAGGTGGCTGGGCAAACATTCCCTTCCACTCACAGGCATGTGGGCCTTTTGTCCACAGAAAATGAATGCTGCTGACAGAAAAGAAAAAAGCAACAGAGGTATAACAGAGAGCCCTGGTGTGCTCACTCACTGCAGTCATTCCGCAGACACATGTACAAACACAAGCCCGTGAGCCAGCACACACGACCCACTTCTTGGTGCCGTGCTGCCCTATACGAGCAGGGCTTTGCGCTGGGGAAGGTGGCGCTCATCAGCCTGGAGCGCTGGGGAAGGTGGCGCTCATCAGCCTGGAGTGGAAAAGTCGAGTGGATCGTGCCAATAGATCCTGCAAATGACCTCAGTCATTTCACAATCACCAAATGCTTCCAATGTCCTATATGAACAGGAAGAATCCAAAGGAGAAGATATAGCCCGTGCTCCTGAGAAATGCAAAACCCAATAGAAATACAAAATACAGCACACATACACTTACATATCCATATATGCACACTGCTTAAAAATGTGTGTTTTAAAAATGCCTACAGACTCAAATCATAACCAACTTTCCCCAAAGCAGTCATGATTACAGCTGGGCTGGGCTGGGAGCGTCCAGCACCTATTCTTTGCCAGGTCCAGTCCTAGGAGCTGGAGACAGGGCAAGAGACCAGGCATACAGAGATCACTCTGCTACGGGGCTTCTGAAAGGGAAGACAGGCATTGACCAGCCTGGTATGCAGCTGACTACTGGATTATACCTGTGGTAAGTGCATGAAGTAAGCGAGCAAATGAGAGCAGTGCCTAGTCTAGCCGGGGCCTTGTGAAGGCTTCCCAGAGAAACTCAGCACCTAGAGGAGCCAAGTGGTAAAGCGGAGCAGGTGCACAGGACGTGCTGTGGAAGGCAGGTGTGCACCAAAGAGAAAAGGTGCAAGGTGTGGCAGGTTAGGTGGAAGCAGCTCAGGGGAAAGACATAGGGGCACTGCCAAGAGTTACAGCCATGTAGATGGTATGCACTGAGACATGAGGTGTATGGGGACACAGGCTGGAGAGGAACATGCCCCGGAGCAGGGACATGCAGAGTCCACGTGCCCACCTGGGGAAGAGTGCAGGTGGGTGGCACCCTGGGGATCAGAGGGAACAAACATTCCCCAGAGCGGCTCCTAAGCAGCAGCTGCCACCAGGAGAGACTCTGCCTCAGGGGGTCCTCGCACCTCACAGAAACACTGGAGTCCACGAGTCACCCACCCAGCGTCGAGGTGATCTTGCTGCTTACCTTCTGAACTCTGTGGCTAAGGTGAAGACAAACATGATTCAAACGTAGCACCAAAGGCAACAGAAACCAAATGCACGCAGAGAAGCCATACAGTCCTCCACAGGGGCAGCTGTCAGAGCAGTAATTTGCCTGGGTCACCAGAAGTTCTAAATAGAGAGTAACAACCATGCCACCCCAAAGGGGACATGAATAGCCACAATAAGCAGTAAGTGTTTTAAGAACCTTAGTGACAAAGAACTACAGGAGATCACGGAGAAGTCATTCCTAATTAGAGATGGCAATGGAACTCACTCTAGAAGAATCCACATTTTCTTTAAAGGACTGAACAGGTGCTGCTTAGAAGATGGGCTTCAGGAGCACAGACAACGGCATGAGAAGGACATAAATGTCATTCAAGGAGTAAAGTTCACATCAGCTGGTTTGAATAAAATTTAAGGACACACAGGGACTGAAAGTGTTCTCGGAGCCTCTGATCAGAGACACAGGGAAAAGGAACTGCAGACAGAATGATTGATTTGAAGAGAGGTCGAGACTCGCTCAGGTCAGCGACCAGGCCTGACGTTACTGATTATCTTATATACTCTCAAACATTCAGTAAGAATTTAACACAGATACAAAGAAGTGGAGTAACATTAGGAAGCTACCATCAAGATTACAATTCAGTGTGAAGGCTGAGGAACACATATACAATTGATTTTGTTTAGAGTAAAAACATAAAGGAGACTGACTGACTGTTCTCGCTGGCCCAAACCGAAACTAGAGATTATAATGTTAATGAAGGAAGAAGACAGAGAACAGAACCCAACACTCGAGGACATGTGTTCGAGCTTCCAGCTGCGACCCGGCCTGATTCTCCATGATCTCTTCTAAAGAGTTCTTCTGCATATTTCTGCATATCTATAGGCAGGTGCAGAAGCTCGATCTTTGAAGAAATCTTTCTCAGAATCAATCTCCTGGGGGAGCACATTGAAGCGAACTGCCACGTCTGAGCATGGGGTGCTTATCTCTACAGGGACAGACAAGGACAGGTTACACAAGAAGAATCTGGCCAGACTCTGTAACGTACCTTGGAACTTCATCCTGCAAGCCAGGATTTTCAATCCTTTTTCTGCTGTATTATTTTCAGATAATAGCTATAACTGAAACACTTTCCTCTCCCACTTCAGGAAGGCACGTTGGGATGAGTGAGTGAGGCTGACACAGTGTGTGTGACTGCCTGTCCAGAAACGGGAGGGGGCAACACGTCAAACTTCAACACTTCTGTTTGGAAGCTAATCATTATTGAATTCTCAGGGTAAACTCCTATTCTAAATGCTTGATGGGAATTAATGCACTTAAACTTCAAATCACTCTAAGAGATACATACCCAGCATTATCCTGGAGCCAGAGGAGATGGCTACAATTACAGGAAGGAGAGAGAGAATATGTATTGTGTAAAACCAGAAAAGCACAAAACTTCATAGACAATAGAACATGGCATGAGAGAGTAGGGTGCTGAGTCATCTGGGGTACCCACTTGGACAGTGGCAATGGTGGTCCAGTGCTATAGTGGAGTACCTCTCAGGACAGAGGGACTGATCCCCCAGGTGCAAAAGTGCTGCCCCCAGCAGCCATCCTCAGCTAGAAAGTGCCACTGCATCCATCATTGTGTTCCTTCCTGGGAGCAGGGGCATCAGGGCCTAGGCAGGGTAATGAAGACTTGACCCCTCCCCATATAGCAAGAGGTGTCTCCAGTGGGCGGTCCTGGCTGCACAGGTCTCACTGGGGTCACTGAGAGCACACCCCCTCGCTGCTGTGAAGAGGTGCATCACCAAGCGTGACCTGCTTCTAACTGCCAGTTAGCAAGGCCACAGACAGGCCTGGCCCCCTAAGAACAAGGCAGTACACTCAGGGCTCCCCATGGGTCAGCGGAGGCCCAGTTTCTCCTTCCATCTACTCTGTCCTCTTCCTCTTCCCTTCCACAGGGACTAACCCCACAAGCACTTCCCAATGAACTTTCCACACATTAGTCTCCACATCAGAGGACACTGCCCCAAGACTGCACTATGTGCTGGACTGGGGCAAGTGGGACAGGTGGGAGGAAAGGTTGGGGCAGCACAGTTCCACATCTGAGGTGCTGGTTCCCAAGTGCCTCGGCAGCCTCCAAGTGAAAAAGGCCCACAACAGCAAAACAGACATATCTGGGGCTGGGGACAGACAACAGATTATGACTGAAACTCAAAGGGCAGATGACACTCAGGCACAACGTGAGAAGAGAAAATGACCACAGAAGGGGCCAGGAAGAAAGCAGCTTTGAAATGTGGCAGAGACACTGCCTGACTCGGTGAGAGCCCACACCTGCACACCTCGCTTTTGGTTCTGGAAGCCAGGACAGAGTTACCCTATAGCAGGCCGTGACAAGAGGACACAAAGGGCCCCCGAGCTTCTGCTCATGTTCCATTTCTAATCTGGGTGAGGGATACAGCTGGCCACTTGTGAATAGTCACTGAGCTCTGCTCTCATGAGTTGTGCCCTACCCTACACCAGTGCTGTACTGGGACATTTACAGTTTATAAAGTGCAGAAAGAAGCCACACAGGAAGCTAAGCAGCAGAGAGAAAAACAGTAGGGGTGGTGCCAGGGGAGAGGGTGAGAAGGTGGGCAGGGCAGCGCAGCGCACAGGTGTCCTGAGATCTCGGCAGGCATGGAAGGAGGTGCCAGGCAAGGAGCAGGCACCTGCTCACTACGAGGGGCTGGGAAACATTGCCCACCCACCTAAACCCAAACCAGGTCTACATGAATCAGCCGCTGGAGTACAGTCACTCATATTCCCTTGAAAAAACTATTATAGTTGGAAATCACTCACCCTGATCGGACAAAAAGTCCAGCATGGTCTGCAAAAGGAAGGACAGGTGCCTGACAGAGAGAGCTGGGTTCCCCATTCTGCGGGAGGCGTAGACCAACTCATGAAGCAAGCGCATCTGGACAGCAGCCCAGCCTCTGTGCGTACCTGCAGTGGGAGTTACAAAACACACAAAAATGCCGTGAGAGGGTGCAGGAAATACAGCTGACGCAGTGTGCAAACTTGGCAATCTGAAGATAAATGCCCCAACTCCAAACTCAAAGAGCAATAAAAATGTTCCCCCCATGTTTACTGATCCTGGAAAGAACTCTAAAGTGGTATGTCTCTCATACCTGAAGTAGGTTTCAGATGGAAGTTTCACTCTTCTGCAAAGACATAATTTCAAAAATATCCCACTTTGAAATATTATAAGTTTATAACAAAAGATTATGTTTTCCATGGCATATATTTGAGTTATAGACTCAATTTTTTTCAAGAAAATACTGATATTTGACTGACCTTAAATATCAACCAAGGACAGTAAGTGAAAAAGTACATTTCCCAAAAGTCTAAGAAAAATGCATGAAAGTAGGTAGCTAAATTAGAGAAAAAGTTATCAACGAACTCTATGGCTACTCCCTGCAAAACATTTCGGCAGGTATGAAATCAAAGGTGGGGGATAAAGACAGATGGCCGTTGAAAGTATCTCTCCAGATAATTACAGAGTTTTATTTATTCCATCTCCTTTTGGCAACCTTACTATTTTTAAAAATTTTTCACCTTAAAAGCCTTCATGAAGATATAGCAACAGGAATCCCCAACAAACAAGTTGCCACACAGTGCTAGGGACTTAGGAGATTGAGGGGGTTGGGGAAAAGTGGTGGAGAAAAATTTAAGACAGGAGTCTTGGGCACACCTGGCCCGGCACAAAGAATTCACTGACTCAGGCTCCCTTCCAAGCTACCCAGACTCTGCTAACCTGGTGGACAACCCTGGGACCTCTGCTGCAGTGGTGCCCACACCAGGCTAGTAAGAACCACACGCTGGGCCCACAGGACATGGACTGCACCCTGTACTCAGACTTCAGTGCAGTTAGTGTGAGGTTGAGAAATCCAAGCCTTTGCACACTGATAATCTATCAGACTGTAAATCACTGCTCTAGCTGACCCCAAACTTAGGTCATTAAAAAACAGCAAAGTGCATTTAGGCTCTAATAAAATGAACATTTACTGAATATAATAGCTCATGATAGCCACTCAACTCACAAATATTTCTTGAGAACTTAACACTGTACAAGGCAGGCATAGGAAAAAGAAGAGGAGATAAAGTCCCTGCCCTCATGGCATCCACGTCCCTGTGGGGACAGCCACGCAGGGAGCCCTTGGGGCACTCTGTGAGGAACACAAATGAAGGTGACAGTGGGCAGGAGTGAGTGCTGCTACATTAGCTGGGGCAGGTGGGCAGCAAGGTGACATCTGGACAAAACCTTGAAGAGCAGCAACACTGAACTGTGAAACGGAGACAGCACACGTCGTCAAATCACAAGGTCCGAATGCAATGGGCCACTTAGAACAACTTTAGCAGTATGTTTATCCTAAGTGCTCACTAAATGCTAGTTGCTATTAACATTATCATTCCGTGAACATAGTGCGCTCAACATATACGTCAACCTTTGACTCTGGTTATAAAATGATTAATGATCCAACCTGTTTCATTGTTTCAAGAATGAACCTTCCATTTTTTAGATCTCTATTGATGTGTTTGCCAGGTAAAATTAGTGTGTGTGTGAGTCAGAACCCAAACCCAGGTGTGAGCTCCTGTACTGGAAGGCTGGGTGGCATATGCTGTTGCAGCCCAGGACAGGCCCAGCGTGGAATGGGAACTCAGTCGGAATGAAACAAGGAACGCAGCCTCCTTTACCACTCAGGGAGCACGGACTGCTCCTCCTTCTCTCCTGACCTCTCTTTGTTTACCCTCTAACACTTTCGGACTCCCCTCCAAGGGGATCTGATCCTAGCCCCTACTCAAGGTCTTCTCTCACTACCCCACCTTACGCAGCTAACCAGGCCCCCTTCCGCATTTCCATTGTATCCTACACAAGTTGCAGCTGCATTTGACAGGTACAGCAAGGCATCTGCTAGCACACGTCTTTCTTTCTTCCATCAATCCTTAATTTCCACACATCCTTAATGCCTAGCAGGACACCTGGCACACAGTGGGTGCTTAATGAGCATGTGGATCAAGATGAAAGCTGGATGAGAGAAAATTTTAGACATGCAGACCCAAGTACACAGGAATGAAATGATGTGACTTCTGGGATGTGCTATAAAATATTTCAACAAAAAATGAATAAAATAAAAACAAAGGTAAAAATAAGTATGCCAGGGGCAGCGCCTGGGGCTCAGGGAGTAGGGCACCGGCCTGATATACTGACGGTGGCAGGTTCAAACACGGCCCTGGCCAAACAGCAACAAAAATAGCTGGGTATTGTGGTGGGCGCCTATAGTCCCAGCTACTCAGGAGGCTGGGGCAAGAGAATCACCTAAGCCCAAGAGCTAGAGATTGATTGCTATGAGCTATGATGACACGGCACTCTACCAAGGGTGACAGAGTAAGACTCTGTCTCTTTTTTTTTTTTTTTTTTTTTTTATTTTGAGACGGAGCCTCAAGCTATCCCCCTGGGTAGAGTGCCATGGCATCATGCTCACAGCAACCTTCAACTCCTGGGCTCAAGCGAGTCTCCTGCCTCAGCCTCCCAAGTAGCTGGGACTACAGGCGCCCGCCACAACACCTGGCCATTTTTTGGTTGCAGCCATCACTGTTGTTTGGCCGGCCCGGGCTAGGGATTCGAACCTGCCACTTTAGGTGTATGTGGCTGGCGCCTTAGTTGCTTGAGCCACAGGCGCCGAGCCGACTCTGTCTCTTAAAAATAAATAAATAAATAAGTATGCCAGTGCTGGTAATTATTTAATCTAGGTGGTAGATTTATTGTTCTATTCTTTCTAATTTTTATACAATTAAAATATGTCATAATAATTTTTCATTGAAATCCTTAGAGCTAACCAAACACCCCCACTTGCTGCCACTACCATTGCCACCACCACTACTTTACATTCTAGTACTTTATCTTCCAGAAATCTTTTGGAATATAAAATGGCAGCACTTCTCATATAACTACAGGAAAGGAGAGAAAGATAAGTCCCTGCAATATTCTACATTGTCATAAGAGGCTAAGACCAAATGCCTAAAGGTTTAAAAAGCCAAAATCAAAGTCATGACTAATCCAGCCATGAATTCAAAAAGACCCAATTTAACTTACCTCAAGAAGGTTATTTCACATAAGAATTAGAGAAATATCCCTTTGCTAACTTTTTTAAGAGATAGATAATGATCCAGCTCCTGTCCCAGAGAGGGGGCAAAGCAAGATGGGCAAACAGAAACCTCCAGCAATCATCTGTCTGTGCAGATGCCGAGTCCAACTATCCACACAACCAAACATCTTCAGGAAAACCAAGAATCAAAGAAAGACATCAGCTCCTACGACAGGCAGTTATGAGGGACATGGAGAATAAATGTTCTTAACAGTCAAGAGCGTACAGGTCATAATATCTATGTGATTCAAAGTGCTTTCCCTACAAATATGAATTCTTTTTTCAAAAGACAGATTTGTGATCAAGTTTTCAACATTCTTATAACTGAAAAGTTCGCCAATTTGGCAATCCGTTACATACTCTGACTATTGTCTTTAGCAATGCCATTTGCCATTTCACAAGAATTCCTAGGGAAAATGTAATTCTTGTTTAGGAAAGAGATTGAATAAAAGGCATGATCAAAAATTTTCATATGTAGCAACATAGCTAAGATTAAAATGATAATAAGCAGCCTTGTAAACCAGATATATGCACATTACACATCCATACTCCTACCTAACGCTGTGTAAGCAGCAAGCGAGAATAACACCCTTCTCGAAAAAGGGAGGGAAACCTTCCAGATAACTTACCTTTTATTCACAGGTACAAAGCTTTTAGTAGGATTCCCATTTAAGTCTCTGAGAAATGTTTAAAGTGGTCCAAAACAATATTAGAAATGAGATTTAAAGAGATTTTTTTTGTTAAAAATATAACCAGCTGAAATTTATTATTTTTACATGATTTGATCTCAGTCCTTTACCTCCCCTCCCTGATGTCTTTCACAAAACAATGGCAAGCGCCTCCTCCTCCTCAAACAGAAGTCTAAGTAAAAAGTACCAAGCACTTTGGTACCAAAAGTACCAAATGTACCAAATCACCAAGCACAGTGGCTCATGCCTGTGGTCCCAGCACTCTAGGAGGCCGAGGCAGGTGGATCGCTTGAGCTCAGGAGTTCAAGGCCAGCCTGAGCAAGAGCGAGACTTCAACTCTACCAAAAATAGAAAAACTAGGCAGAAGTTGTGGTGAGCACCTGTAGTCTCACCTATTGGGAGGCTGACGCAAGAGGATCAGTTGAACTCAAAAGTTTAAGGGTTTAAGGTTGCTATGAGCTATGATGACACAAAGCATTCTACCCAAAGTGACAGAGTGAGACTCTGTCAAAAGAAAGAAATGGGAAAGGAAGGAAGAGAACCAAATCACTTGAAAGTATGCTCATTTGTTATACTTTTCAAAAGAAGCATGTTTCCTCTATCAGGCTTAACGTTAAGACCAAGAAAAAACTCTATTTAATAAATGGCAACAAACATATTGCCATGGTAGCTTGTTGGGGTTTGGTCCCACATTATTCCTATCTACTTGGACCCCCAGGCTCCCACTTGCCCCAGTTCAGGGGACATGGTAAGACATAGAGGCCTCTGAAATTTTTTTTTAACATACTTATAAGTTCGGAGAAGTGCTGTGAGAACAACAGGATTCAATGAGAGAGAAAAATAAAAGGATTCCACTTAGGCTGAAGGCTTAGTCCACAGGGGACTTCTCTGAAGCTGAAGAAATGGCATTCATCTGTGACCAGAGGGTAGCTGGGAGTTAGGCAGGAAGAACAGCGGAAGAGCATTCCTGGAGGAAGAAAGAGCTATCTGAAGACCTCAGACTTGTGTGTTCTTAGGTATGGATAATTGGCCCTGGTATAAAAAGAAAAAATTAAGACAACTCCTAGTGTAACTTACATAAAGCCCAGGAGGCTTGGTTTTACCCTGAAGCCAGCCTGGAGTTATATTCAAAAGATACCAAAAAAAGTAACTGGAAAGCAATTTAAATCTTTCCTACAGCCTTTCAAAAGTATACCAAATGGGGATTCCATTCAGAAATGCACAGAGAAAACCATTTAAACACATTTTCATCTCTTTCAGCACCAGTGTAACTGCTCTAAAAACTCTGTCTTCCTAAACACTACCCCACCCCCACCCCCACCTCAATCAAATTTCTCCAGAACAGAGCCTAACTGAGCTTAGACACACGACTGTCCCTTCCCAGGCTCTGGGGTCTATGCTTTTCTCTTCTGCCAGTAACTCTTTACCTTTTAAATATAAATCCTACAATTTTCTGAGGCTTGTCTAGTTGTTTTTGCCCTTAATTCCAATTAACACAACCAAAGGGCTGGGTGAAGGGCAGCAACCCCACAGCACATCTCTCAGGCACAGGCTTTGTGAGCCCCACACTTGGTGCTGCCCCTCTCACCCCATTCACTCTGGCCACAGAGAGCTACAGAAAGAGCCCTAGTCCCAGTCGGAGGATCTCACTCGCCAGAAAATACACAAATGGGTGCTGAGCGCTGTCCTGGGCACACAGGGACTGACCATTCAATCCTCACAACCTCCCACTGGATAAACTAGTTTCCCACTTACAGATGAGGAACAAAGACACGAAACATTAGGTGCCTTGGCTAAGGTCACCAGCGGTACGACCTCTGCCGCCTTGCGACCCGTCTCCTCCAGGGCTTGTGTTGCTCAGGGTCCCTGGCTGCCAAGCAGGGAGAAGCAATGCCCCACACGTGAATGAGGCCACAGCTGGCCTGTGTGGAGGGAGAGAGATAACTCTCTGGGCAAATGCAGCTGCAGGCCAAGGCTTAGCAAAGAAAGTCCCTGTGTGGGAAACAGACAAAGCCACCCCTTTGCAGCCTGGCACACAGCTGGACATATGCAGCCAGCACCCCTGTGCAGGTCACAGCTGTAGACAGTGACCCTGCCCAGTACAGAAGGTGCTCGAGACAGGCCACTTAAAATACCAGGAAAAAGTGAAGAAAATGTGAACAACCACCTTTTGTGAATATTTTTGTGTAACATCTAATAAGGACTTTTTTTAATAAACAAAAAATATCCCCAACTTCAAGATTTACTATAAAGCTACAATACTCAAGACAGTGTGGTACTGGTAAAGGATTAGACTAATAGATCACTGGTACAGAATAGACAGTCCCAAAATAGACCTATGTAAGTACAGTCAACTGATCCTGACAAAGCAGTGATGGCAATCAATGGACAAAGATAGGCTCTCCAACAACTGGTGCTGGAACAACAAGGAAAAAACAATAGTAGTCTAGTCACAGACTTTACACATTTGCCACAAATTAACTCAAATTAACTCAAAATGAATCATGGACCAAAATGTAAAATGCAAAACAATACGACTCCTGGAGGGTGTGGGGTCACAGTGTGCGGCACACCTCTGTGGGTGGGACACAACTATAAGAGGGACTTTACCTAACAAATTCCTGTAAAGAGCAGGAATTGTCTTCCTTTTCTTAGAGACAGCATCTAACTCTGTTAACGGGCTGGATGGAAGTGGCGCCATCAAAGCTCACCACAAACTCTAACTCCAGGACTCCAGCAATCCTCCCACCTTGGCCTCCCAAAGTGCTAGGAGTACAGGTGTGAGCACCGCACCCGGCCAGGGTGTCTTCCTTACCATGGCCTCACCCACGTGACACATCCCATGGCACAGGGCAATAATAGCACAGCACTTTATCTGTTGAGTTCATGTTTGAGAAAGGTAAGTAGATATGTCTTTAGCTATTCAGATGGGGAAAGGGGAGAGAAACCTGGTTTTTCATTCAACCTGGGGGAGAACCCTAACAATCAGAATTATCCAAAGTAGAACTAGATTCATCGTTAAAACCATAAGCTGGGGCTCGGCGCCTGTGGCTCAAGCGGCTAAGGCTCCAGCCACGTACACCTAAGGTGGTGGGTTCAAATCCCCAGCCCAGGCCCGCCAAACAACGATGGCTGCAACCAGAAAATGGCCGGGCGTTGTGGTGGATGCCTGTAGTCCCAGCTACTTGGGAGGCTGAGGCAGGAGACTCGCTTGAGCCCAGGAGTTGGAGGTTGCTGTGAGCTGTGATGCCACGGCACTCTACCCAGGGGGATAGCTAGAGGCTCTGTCTTAAAAAAAAAAAAAAAGAAAAGAAAAGAAAACCATGAGCTGGGAAAGGAGTAGGGTGCCAGCCCCATATACCAGAGGTGGCAAGTTCAAACCCAGCCCCAGCCAAAAAAATCATGAGCTGGGCGGCACCCATAGTTCACTGGGTTACAGCACCAGCCACATCACATACACTGAGACTGGTGGGTTTGAACCCCAGCCTGGGTCAGCTAAAGCAACAATCACAACTGCTACAACAACAACAACAAAATAGCCGATAGTGTGGCAGGCACCTAGAGTCCCAGCTACTTAAGAGGCTGAAGGAAGAGAATCACTTAAGCCCAAGAGCTGGAGGTTCCTGTGAGCTGTAACACCACAGCACTCTACCCAGGGCAACAGCTTGAGACTCTGTCTCAAAAAAAAAACCATGAGCTGCTCCAGTCAGCACAGGCCTTTGAGAGATGTGAAAATGATTCTGGAAAATCCATCTTTGCACTGCTGGGACAACAACCTACATTACATGAGAGCCTGCACAGCCCCTTTCCTACCAAGACGCCTTCACTAACTCCAGGTGGGAGTTGGAGGAAGGTGTTACATGTTTCCCACCTAGAACAGTAACCAAAAAAAATTTTTTTCACCTATTAAGACTAATACTGGACATTATATTCATGTATACGTATTATCAGATTTATAGTTTCATTTTTACTATGTATTACCTTGCATTAACACTGCAAGAATAAGAATTTACTACCAAATGTACAGATACGTGTATATACATACACCCAGGTATATTTATTCCCAGTTCATTGGTTTTGCTAATTTAACTCAATTTCGTAAGATAAGTAAAGTTCTTAGTGTTTTGTTGCTATAGCATGCCCATGAGCCCAAAGGCAACTTCTGACTACCACATATAATGACTTGAGAATGGGGGCGGTGCCCATGGCTCAAAGGAGTGGGGTACAGGCCCCATATGCCAGAGGTGGTGGGTTCAAACCCAGCCCCAGCCAAAAACTGCCAAAAAAAAAAAAAAGACTTAAGAACGCAAGCCCCAGAGTACCCAAGAGTTTTAGTCACCTTTGCACAGCCAGCAATATCTGTCATGTACCACAGATGCTCAAACAGTGCCTGATTAATTGAATTAAAACATCATTTTAAAATGCTCATCATCCTTAATCATCAGAGAAATGCAAATCAAAACCACTTTGAGATGTCATCTAACTCCAGCAAGATTAGCCCACATCACAAAATCCCAAAACCAGAGATGCTGGCGTGGATGTGGAGAAAAGGGAACACTTCTGCACTACTGGTGGGAATGCAAATTAATATCTTCCTTTTGGAAAGATGTCTGGAGAACACTTAGAGAACTAAAAGCAGACCTATTTGATCCTATAATTCCTCTACTAGGTATATATCCAGAAGACCAAAAATCACTTTATAACAAAGAGATTTGTACCAGAATGTTTATTGCAGCCAAATTCATAATTGCTAAGTCATGGAAGAAGCCCAAGTGCCCATCAACCCACAAATGGATCAATAAATTGTGGTATATGTACACCATGGAATATTATGCCACCTTAAAGAAAGATGGAGACTTTACCTCCTTCATGTTTACATGGATGGAGCTGGAACATATTCCTCTTAGCAAAGTATCTCAAGAATGGAAGAAAAAGTATCCAATGTACTCAGCCCTACTATGAAACTAGTTTATAGCTTTTATAGGAACACTATAACCCAATTTTAGGCCAAGAATATGGGGAAAGGGGAAAAGGAGGGAAGGGGAGTGGGGAGGATGGGTGGAGGAAGGGTAATTGGTGGGACCACACCTACGGTGCATCTTACAAGAGTACAAGTGAAACTTACTAAATGTAGAATATAAATGTCTTAACACAATAACTAAGAAAATGCCATGGGGCAGCACCTGTGGCTCAGTGGGTAGGGCACTGGCCTCATACATTGAGGGTGGCAGATTCAAACCGAGCCCCGCCAAACTGCAACCAAAAAATAGGCAGGCATTGTGGCGGCGTCTGTAGTCCCAGCTACTCAGGAGGCTGAGGCAAGAGTTGCCTAAGCCCAACAGCTGGAGGTTGCTGTGAGCTGTGACGCCACAGCACTCTACCCAAGGGTGACAAAGTGAGACTCTGTCTCTACCAAAAAAAAAAAAAAAAAAAATGCCACGAAGGCTATGTTAACCAGTTTGATAAAAATATTTCAAATTGTATATAAAACCAGCACATTGTACCCTATCACTGCATTAATGTACACAGTGATGATTTAATAAAAATAAATAAATAAATAAAACAACATTTTAGTTCCAGAAGCAGGACTTCCAGTACCTCTGTTAAAGTCTTTTGGATCCAGAGACAGACTGTAGCCAGGAAGCGTCTCCAGGAGGAGTTTGTAGCAGGCCCTCCACCCAGGCTCTGCGATGCTCGGGGCCACGCACTGCATGGCAGCCACGCGCTTGAAGAACGCTGACTTGCGATGAAAGCCGATCAGCTCGTAGAGCTCAGAGAGGATGCTGTATCGCTGGATTTTTTCTTCCTCAGAAAGCTGAAGCACAGAAACAAAGTAAAGAGCCTTTGAAAGAAATTTCTAAGAGAAACAAGAGACATACACACAAAAAAAGTTTTTTTTGTTAAACAGAGACCTGATGAAATATGGAGGAGGAGGAGCGGGAGAGCCTCATTACCGGCACCACAACACACACCATGGAGAAAGCAGCGAGCGGCTTCTGTGGACACTCCAAAACCTCTAACGAGCCATCGCTTCAAGTGCAGCCTGTCATTCTGCTAACAAGGCTCAGATTCTCCAGAACAAAGGTATTTGCTACACATCACATAAGACATCTACTTTAAGTTCCTTTATACAAGAAAAGAAAAGGAACAAGAGTTCATCCAGACAAGCGGATTTTGGCAGAGACTTTCATCAAATACAGAAATTCTTAAAACCCCAGAATACATAAATCCATGCAACTAGATAATGAATTGTTAATAATAACTCCACCTATCTTAGACATAAGACTTTACAACTTACGAAAAGGTCTCTTTCATCCAAGACTGAGTCCTCCCAACAACCCTATGATGCAGTAATAACAACTTCTATTTAAGCATCTACTACTATATGCCAGCAAACTTAATGTACCTCATTTAATCAAAACAACAATCCCATGAGCTTGTAGATAACAACATTTGAGCTCAGGGAGGCATTAATAACCTGCATAAAATTGCACAGCCAGGAAGCATCAGAGACAAGACCCGACTCTGGGCCCCAGGCTCTGCTCACAGTCTGGTGTCTACCTTATAGCACTGCAGGTGCCGTCAGAGAGGAGGGAAGGCAGGGCCCACACTGTGCTCAAGCCAAGCTAAACAAGTGATTCTCTCATGCCCCGCCCCTGGGCAGTAAACATGCTTCCCAGGTATGTCTGTGAGCTCCAAACTAAATTTGAACACTCTTCCAACCTGCGCCCTTTAATTCCTGCATCCATTCTCCACTCTTAACTCCCACTGTCACGGCCCTTTAGATTTGAATCATCTTCCTACCACCTTCTCTACCTTCCTAACTCACCCACATACCCCAGCCAGAATAACACTCCTGAAGCAGGGCTCAGAACCCATCAGATATGCTATGGTCTGAAGTTTGTATCTCCTCCCAAAATTCACATGTTAAAACCTGACCCTAAGGGGATGGACTTAGGAGCTGGGGCCTCTGGGAGATGATGATCATGGGGGTGGGACATAAATGGGATCCGTGCCCTTATAAAAGAGACCCCAGAGAGACTTCTCTCATCCCTTCCACCATGTGAGGGAAAAGACATCTATGAACCAGGAAGTGAGCCCACATGAGACACCAAATCTGCCAGCACCTTAAACTTGGACTTGCCAGACTTCAGAACTGTGAGGAATAAATTTCTGTTGTTTATAAACCACCTAGTCTGTGATATTTTTTACAGCAGCCCAAACAAACAAAGACAGCGCCTACCTCAAAACCACTGAGGAACCCTCCATCACTACTGAATGAAGCCCAAATGCCCCCATGGGCCTCCAAGGCCCACGTGAGTTAGTTAGCAGCAACCTGCCCTTGTAACTCCATGTCCCACTGCCTACCCACCGTCTAGCCCAACTGAGCAAAGTTAATTCATTTGTTCTCTCATTCTCTCAGCACATTTATTGAATGCCCACTCTGTACCAGCCACTATTATTATGGGAGATAGGGCAGTGAAGGAAACAGACACAGACCTCCACTCAGGGCCCTCCAAGCCAGGACAGGCCAGTCCTCCTGGCTTAGAATCAGCTCAGGCAAGACAGCAATCAGCCAGCACAGTGCCAGAGTAGCTGCTCCAGGTGCCCTGACATGCCCTTGACACTGAAGAAGGGTGGAGAGGGGATGGCAGGGCTGGACCAGATGAAGATCCTCCAGGGCACGTGGGCTCCCCAAGACCCCCACCTTGGCTCTCTGTTCCTGGCTCCCACAGCCTGAAGGGCCCCTCCCCACAACATCCTTCAAAGAGCCCATTCCAATGCTGCCCTCTCCTGAAGCCCATGGTCCTGCCCTTCAGCCATGATTGGCCACTTCTTTCCTTAATTCTCAAAACCATTCTGGACTATTGTTTCTCTCTCCATGTCTTAAATTACTCACGTGCATGTCACCATGCCCCCACCCCATCATTTCATGCTCATGCCAATGACAGGTGAAGACTGCTGCTGTTCCACAGGCTCACAACATTTGATGGTACCAGTCTGTTTAACTTTAGCCACTCTGGTAGCTTTAATTTGCATTCCCTGATAACTAATGATGCTGAACACTTTTTATATGATTACCAGTTGCTTGTGTATCTTCCTTTATAAAGTGTTTGTTCAAATCTTATGACAGCTTTTAAAATTAGGCCATTTGTTTATTATTGAGTGGTAGGAGTTCTTTTTATATTCTGAATTTAAGTCCTTAGTCATATACGTTTTGCAAATATTTTCTCCCAGTCTGTTGACAATTCATTTTCCTAAGGGAGTTCTGATAAGCAGAAACATTACATTATGATACAGCTTGATTTATCAGTTTTGTCTTTTATGATTAGTGCTTCCTGGGTCCTTATCTAAGACATTTGCCCAAAGTCACAAAGATATTCCCCTGTTTTCTTCTAGAAGCTTCTTGTCTAAGTCTATGATTTGTGTATATTCAAATCTGAATAGGACAGTGCCTCTGTTTCCCAGGAGCATACAGAACAGCTGCAGAGAGAGAGCCCTGGGCTGTGGGGGAGTCACCACTGGCACAGGACTGAGGAGATGTATAAAGGAAGGGCACCAGGGCACAGTGCCGTCCAAACCTGGAAGCTCCTGAATGTCCAGCTGTACCACTGTGTACTAAGCATGATAAAAGATGCTGGGGACGATGAAACAGTGATCTTACCCAGTGCCCTTAAAGAGACCACCATCTAAAACAAAAGTGACAGCTAGGGAAGCTCACGAGCCTTCGGCTCCAATCCATCCGAATGTCCGTTGATTCTTTCATGGAACCTATCTAAGATGAAAGGTTGTAATACTTTGAATAATAATATAGTATTTCAATCTTCTTGTTATCATTTGAATGTATTAAGAAAGCAAATAATAAACACTATGTTACAGATGGAATAAAATCACTTCAAGCCCTAAAAAAGATCCTTGATGGGAAACACTTGGACACAGCTCCATTTGAGCGCTAGACAGACACTTGACTAAACAGCTTCTTATTAGTGCCAAACCCTGGGAGCCTCGAGATAAAGCCCTGTCAGGTCAACTCAGGTACCTACAGCACAAGGACCTGCGGAACACAGAATGGCTCTGGGCAAGATGCTAGGTCAAGATCCTCTTGAAGTCTTGAAATAAAATCAAATTCCCAAACTCATTTCTGACATGCTACTCTTTTAGGGAACATTAATCAGCACATTTTTTGTTCTAATTTTTCAATAGGCTGCATGGTCACGAAGTCCAAGTTCAGGGCCCAGATGTTTCTAAGAGGGTCCAACAGAAGTGGCTCAAAGATCACTCAAGCCAAGTAGCTTTATACATAAGACATACTCTGGGGAATTCAAATATTAATTCACTTTTCCATTTCCAACTTGAAAGTAGGTTTAGATCTGTTTTATTCCACTAATGAGAAAGAAAGTGGTAATATTAGTGGGAAACTCAAGATACAGGACTAGTCTCTGGCAAGAGGATTTAGGGAAGAACAGACTAGAAAGTACCAAGTTCCAGGACCAAAGCTGCACATCACTGACTCTGCCACATTCCTTATCTACAAAATGGGGACAATCAAACCTAACTGTGATTGTTGGAAAGACAAAATGAAATAATGTGGACCCTTAGCATCAGCCTAAAATTCTAAGTGTTCAAGAAAGCAGAAATATTGTTAGTTGATGCCTTTGAAATCACAAGTCCTAACCCCAAATTAGCCAGCCAAAGATGATCTAGAAAATGCCTCAACCTCCATCAGCCTTCTCAAACACAGGAACATGTGGTAATCTGAAGAACCAGGCAGGAGACAGTTGGGACAGCCTGGTGAGAGCACTTCAGGGATGACCACAGAAGAACACGGGATAGACAACGCAGAGACTACATATTCCCAGGGATGGGAAACACATTGCTTTTCGCCACAGGTATTTCTAGCCATAAGGATATGGAGGGAAAATTTATATTCAAAATTACATAAAATTTCTATGTATCTTTCCAAAAAGTATAGATAAAAACATAACTTTCTTTCCTACATACCAAAGCGGGGTAATAAGGCATGCACCCAAAACTTTTCTTTAAAAAGCATAGAGCAGGCTAGGTGCAGTGGCTCATACTTGTAAACCTAGCACTCTGGGAGGCCAAAGCAGATGGACTGCTTGAGCTCAGGAGTGCGAGACCCCATCTCTACTAAAAATACAAAAACTATCCAGCAGGCATTGTGCAGGCACCTGCAGGAGGCTGAGGTTGCTGTGAGCTATGGTGATGCCAGGGCACTCTACCCAGAGCCAATGAGACTCTGTCTCAATTAAGAAAAAAAAAAAAAAAGAAGAAGCCTTTATTGGAATTAAATTTGTACAAATATACACACACAAAAAAATGAAGGCCTGGGCTTGGTGCCTGTGGCTCAAGTGGCTAATCTGCCAGCCACATACACATAAGCTGGTGGGTTCAATCCAGCC